CTCTTCCAGTGACATTGCAATTAAAATAAGGTACTTGTTTAATAGTGACGTTTCTAGTTACTGACTTTTTTATTCCACCTAATAAGACTAAATTTCTTTCTTACCAGAAACAATTTCAAAATAAATTGGTTATTGCATTTAACCTGGTTTAACAAAATCAGAAAAACATAAAGCTGCGCTAAGTGTTCTTTAAATATACTTAAGAAATCTGTGCATATAAAATATGAACACGGTTTTGTAAAATGGTTCCTAGGTTTCACCAATGATTCCTCTACACAACAGTCTGAAAGTGTATATGTAGCCTTTTAAAAATCAGTGTGCTTTCTAAAGGAAGATGGCAAGTAGTTCAGCTATGTCATAATCATCTAATTTCTAACTGGGATTTTGCTATGTAATATGATGATAAATTCCACATGCTTTAAATCAAAAGCTTGTGCAACATTTTTAAAGAAACCTTGACCTTTTTCCTAGTGTACTATGTATTATAAAAAATCCATAATGTATTTTTTGGTCTAAATAGCCTCCTTCTACATTTTTCTTTAGTTGTTTGTTGGGATTTTTTTTTTAAGTTTTAACTTTGAGCGTGTTCTGTGGATTTTTTTAAATTCAGTTCCTGTTGTTTAGTAAAAGAATTCAGGATCTCTGAAGTTTAAATATGAGATGTTTATATAGCAGTTCTGGTTTTCTATTAGCTTTTATACAGTATCTTAAAAAGTCCTTGATAGAAGTGTTTATTTTGGAGGATACAGAATAAATATGCTTCCACTTATATAACTTTAATATATGTTTTAAAAGTTAAATTATGGAAAAAATGTTAGTTGCTTGTTTATAAATAAAGGTCTTTTGAAGAGTGTCTAGTTTGGCCACAGACAAAATAAGAGGCAAATTTATTGATACAAAAACCTGTCTTCATCGTATCTTGTTTAATTTTGTAGCTGTGTACTGAAGAGACACAAAGTTAGAGGTCTTGTTAAATATAAAAAGTGGTTTGCTTTTTCTTCTTTAAATTTGTGACAGGAATGTGCAGATGTTTTAATATATAGATTAGAATCTTTAATTCTTTCTTATTTTGCTATTTTTATAATCTGTCAGATAAATCTCAGAGAACTATCCTGCTTCTGTGGAAGTACAGTGGAAACTTACATTGCATTTAAGAGGAGCAGGGTTGAGCCATGAAATGTATTTTGGTTTGGAACTTTTTTTCCTTTCAGGCACTGTGATGGCAAAGCATCTAAGCCTATGCTTAAGTTCCATTGAGATCAGTCTTAAATCTTTTTAAACTTGTGCTTAAGTTCTTTGCTAAATTGGGACCATGATCAGCCATTGAAAGTGAGCAATGGCAGAAAAATACCTACAGATTTTTTTTAAGTCTTAGAACTAAAAATTAAAATGAATTTTCCTCTACATAAAAACTACATATACAGCTAGGGTATAATTCTGTCATTTTACAAAAACAAAGGATGTGAACCAGTAATAATACCGTCTCTACTTCTTCTATTTGTGCTTTTTTTGGCTTTTTTTTTGGCTTTTTTTTTTTTTTTTGTAAGGGGGAGCAGCGCACCCTGTGACAGTAAATTGAGCAAATAACCTGCTGAAGCAGTGGGTGACACTAGGGTTTGTCTTGTGTATTTCAGAATGGAGATGTAGCCTTATCTGTGAACCAAAACACAGCTGTAAAAGACTTCTGCCTGCATTTCTGATTTAGGCAGGCCTTCTAGTGACATCCAGTAGATTTATTTTTTTTTGTCTGATGTTGTTTGTTTGTTTTCCCCCAAGTAGGGCATGCGGGTTTGGTCTGAAGCTACATGTACTCTGTTTTTGTTCCAAGCTTCCAGTGATAAAGCTAGAAGTTCCTCACACGGGATAAGGACAGACTATGCCTACCTTCTTGGCACTAACAGTGAGGGTGCAAATATATGGCATGAGCCTGTAATCTGGCATGTGCCTATACTGTTCAATAAAATTGTTTACATTTTCCTACCAGAAGATTTAGATAAAAATCAAAGCAAGCTTAGGGGTTTGGTTTTTTTAAATGTTGCTGTTAATGAATCAGTGTTAAAATCTTTTTTTGTTGTTGTTGAACACAGCCTGATAGTATTTTTTAATGTCATTGATTCTTGTTTATTTAAAAATGACTTGTGAAAAACTGTACTATAACTGTTGTACATAAAGGGACACTATCAAGAGAAAGGTTGTATACAGTAAATGTACTTATCTGTATTAAGAATACTTGATATTAATAAAATCAAAGAATTTAAAAACATGAATTGACTCATAACACTTGCTGCTTGGGCATGAAAATGCCTATCAAGGGCATCCTCAGTTGTTGCAAGGATGTCTGAAAAACGTGTCTGAATTCTGTGGGCTGAGCTTATTTTTCACGTTGCTTTTTCTCTTGCTATTCCAGAATAAAGGACTCAGTCCACTTTTCCTTTTCCAGTTTCTCAGCGATACACATTACCTTTTAAAGACACAAGCTTCCCACTACTGCAGCAGCATCTTTTTAATTAAAATATGTACATAACACCAGAACAAAATACCTTTTTGTAATGTAACATGCAAGATACATATAAATTACACATTTTAAGGCTTATTCTTGACAGTGTCCCTTTTTAAAAAGCAGGAAAATGGGATCACTTTAGTGCTTGGGTACAGGGGAATGGTTTCCTACAGTTACTAGAAACTGGAATTACCCAATATATTTGCTACAGGATTTTCCAATTAGTTACATAAAATCACTTGTCATTTTAAAGGATTATAGAGGTAAGACAAAAGAAGCTGGTTTTATAATCCTGTATACCTTATAGTCATTGTATATCAGTTCAATACACCAGTGTTGAATTTTAATTAAGGATGGGTTTTTACTTTTTTTTTAGGACTGAGACTTAATAGCTTAGGGTAACTTTTTCTTTAATGTAATGTAAATCCATTGCTGCTTTGTACAACTTTTTCTACTGTGTGTTTTCTTTACTTAGATCTTGACTAAGAAATATTGGCGTCCAATAAACTTACACTTTGTTTCTTTTGAATTACTGTGTCTTATACTGGAATCTCTTGGCAAAGTGTGATGTTATTGTACATACCATTGTCTGTGGGATGGGAATTTTGTTTATAAAAGAGCATCTTTTGATCTGTTTGTTGGATGTAAATGATAGTTTTTTACATTACTAAAATAATGGCTTTTTGTTTGTTTTAATAAGTGCCCCACTGAATCTTTCACTGCAATATACAAGAAAACTAAGTGCTCTAGACAGGCTCTTAAAAACTTGAGCGCAGCCCAAATCCTGCTTCCTATGCAATTGTTAACTAAATAGGGACTTTGTGGAAGCAAGGTTATTTCAACTAAGTATCTCTTTCATCTGCAACTGGATTGAAGCAGATGTTTGAAAATACACTGTCGGGAATGTTTATGGTATTTTGCAGTGCTCTCATCAAAAGCAGTTTTGCTGCATGTGTTTCCCTCTTCAAAAACCCTTGTGTGGGAATGTAGTGTGTGGATTCCCATGACACAGAAAATGATTTCTGTATCTTTTGGGAACAGAGTTTACTAAGCTCCTCGTTTCAAAGTAGATGAGACCTACCATTGAAACCTCTTAGGCCATTTTTCTCAAATTCTTGGACTCCATATTTGCTGTCCTTTGCCAATTTTAATTTGTGCAGTTTGGTTGAACCGATTGAGCAATTTTACTCACATTTAATAGAGGAGACAAGGTCTCAAGAATTAGTCTCTAACAAGTTTCATAAAAATCACTGACTGGGTAGCAAAGAATAGTCTCGGTGGGAGGGATAAGATTTAGAGTGAGAGCGTGTAGTGAACAGTTATCTGGGCTTTTTACCCCAGCACTTGTCGCTGTGTGCATGTGTACTGTCTTGTTGGGGTAAGTGGGGCAATAGGTCAGGTGAAACATACGGCAGAGCTGAAGTAGCCAGTCTGCCAAATGGTCAGAAGCAAGGGTTGAAAGGGCACTCCAAGACTGAGGATTTGGGCCTTTGATGCTCCGTAAATCTCTTTGAAAACGGGGACAAGGGGCTCCTGGCCTGTCCCTCCATGGAGTATGCCTGCACATCAGAAGTTACGTGAGCTGTGGAAAAAGAAAAGAGGACAAAGAGCTGCTCTCTGGCTTGTTCACAGAGTCATAAATCACTAAAGGTTTGGCTCCCTCTTTCTCCTTTCAGCATAAGCAACTCCTCCAGCTCTTTCTGCATTCAGTTAAGATCTACATACAGTCCTCTCTCTGTTACTGTTTCAGAGCAGTCTAACATCTGCTTAAATGCTTCACAGAAAATGGCTGCTCTAGAGACCATACAATCTACATTTGACGTAAAAGCCAAGAAGCAAACCAAAATGATAAAAAGGTACTGATAATGCCATGAGCACTGTGCCTGTTTTCATGGGTTATTTTTTGTTCTAATTCCAGCCATCCACTTCTAAGACAGTTGCTCTGCAAACAAATCCAGTAACTTTTCCTTACTTTTCCATTCATAGGGTGCTTCCAGTTATCACTCTTTTTTCAGTACACAGACACTAACAGGATAATTTTAACTGTTAGACTTACACAGATAATATTTCCAATCCTGAAATACTCTGGCAATAGACATTTTCAAGCCGTTGGCTGCAATGAAGCAACATACAAACCTTTTATTTCCCCTTTATTTTACATGTGTTGAAAGAGTTGCATTGAAAGCAAAGCCAGTTTCTGCTAACAGTATTTGCTTTAAATCGCCTCTGCAGTTTTGATACAAACCTTAATGATTTTTTAATGTCTTGTTAGTCCAGGACCTAGGATGTCATGGAGCCCTGGCTGTAGTTCCTAGCTTAGGCTGATATTTGAAGGCACAGGCTCTTGTACAGCAACACGCACCTCTCCAATGAGGTCCACTGGTGTTAAGAATGAGGCCGTAAAACCTGCTGGGATTACTAGCATCCAAAGATGCATCTGCTGGAAGGAAGAGACCATGCTGAGGTTTGCAGGCTCCACAGGCAGGTGTCTGAAGGAACAATGGTCAATAAGCCAGAAGAAGAAGTGGGAGAAAGTAGGATGAAACATCAGAAGAACGTAAGAAGAGAGCACGCTGTGGCCCTGCCAAAAACGAGAAAAAAAATCTGCCTCTGTTTTAAGTGTCATTTGTGATGAATACGGCTCTTTGGTTCCTGCTTTTTCCTTTTTTCCCTAATGAACAGCTAGGACTCCCATGGGGTTTGACACCTCCTAACCCTTTCTGGCTGAGAAGAAACTGCATCCGTTCCTCTATGCTAGAAAGTCTATGAAAGAGTTTAAGGGAAGAAAAACTCCCCAAAATATTAATAATATTTCCCCTACAATATTGCATTGGAGGAAGTTTGGGTCCTCTTGGAACAGGCTTTGAAAACTGCATGTCCTAAGAGCTTCACCAGGTATGGCAACTATACCTGTGGAAATACATTTGCAGGTTTTCCACCTCGCCACCTGCACCTGTGGGTCCTAAAAAGAGGAGGATCTAAAACCAGATGAGAACCTATAGAACAGTAAATACAGCTTTGTTGGCCACCAACCTACTTACCCTTTCCTCAGGGTAGTCCTTGGCTTCATGCACATCTCTAGCTCTGCAGGGCAGCCAGCGTGGAGCCCAGTTTTATGTCAGAACAGACACAGGTGTTCCCACCCATAGGGGGAAAGGTAAAGACTTCCTCTCTGCAGGGCAGCCCAGGGCTGGGATTAACATGGCAGCTGCTATTTGCTACTGCCTCTTCTCCACTCGTCACTCAACTGAACAGCCAAATGCCACAAGGAGGAAACTTAGCTTTGTTAGCTTGCATTCAGATTAGTTGTTTCAGGAGAAATTTGACTGAGGCATGCAAGTGCATTTTTTAAGAGCATTGAGGGGGAAAAAAAAAAAAAACAACCAAAAATACCAAACTCTCATTCTGAATATATCTGGAGGAGAATACTAAAAATGAGATTTGAAATTGGTTAGTTTTTTAGCAACTACTAGTAAAGGCTTCAGTGAGGAAGAACCACATAAAGGCCAAGTTTTAGGGAAATGATCCTGTGATCTATTATGTGCCTTTAACACTGTGTACAAGCACTAGGAGGAGCCAGAAACAAAAGACTGCAGCATCACATCCACCTGAAGATCTCCACTTGAAAGCATCACACAGAAGGTGAACCCCTCTCTTTGTATGTATGTATGTATATGAAAATGTTTGAGTGTGTTTAAATATGGCTCGGTTACACAGCAATTGCTGTGTTTGGAGAAAATTCCCTGTTAGGTCAAAGGCGTGTTACAATACACTTTTGTCTAAAAGCTGTCTTCTGTGGTATTTCCTTCACTAAGCAGCATGGTTTCTGCCTAACTGACAGCTAGGAGCGGAGAGATGAGGTGCATCTCCAGACTCTTGAATCCTTGGCTCCCTCTTGGGACTGCCAAGGAGGAGGCCAGTCTATCCCAATGGTTTCTGCAGCACAGACAGTTGTCCAAGAAAATGCTCTTATAGAGCATTGGTTGTAGCTTAACACCTATTATGATAACATGTAGTCAACACACTTGAACATAATATGAACTCATGACTGAGGAGTTAAAAGCTTTTTACTCTTTGTCGGTGCCATAACACATTGTATTCTCCTTCAAGTAACTGGCAGGATTTGCATAACCATATCGTAAGCCAGCCTGTGCCCATGTGCTGCAGACTCGAGGCGTTTTAGCCTTAGCGCAGTACCCATGGGGGTGCGCTCGGGGATGACACACAACACGAAACTGGTGCATGCCCTTGGATTTTCTTAGCCATCTAGCCGAGTTGGAGCATTTTCACTGTTGGTGTGGGTTCTGAGATTTTTCAAAAGCCTTTATTTTATTTTATACTCTTACTGTTGATTTCCTACAACATCGCTTGAAATGCCGTATCTCCCAGTCCAAAACTTGAAGATCTCTTTTACTACTTACCAAGTCCTTTCTTCTTTTTGATACCCAACATTCCCAAAGCTGGTTGGTTTTAGTGTCCTCAGGCGTGTGTCTGAGGGGCATATGAATCTTTGTACTGCACGGGAGAAGCACACGTCCCTGGAAGTCAGCATCTCCTGGGCTGGAGCCCAAGGTTCAGAAGGAGAGGCAGGAATCTCTCCAGTAGTTCCTTGTCAGGAGATTCTTCAGCTCTATCTTGGACATGGGAAGCCTTAGCCATTTGGACACAATGTTAACTCTGAGCCTAAATTAAGCCATAGGCGAGAAACTTCATGTAGCTGGAATCGCCCATCATGTCTAGGGTGTCGTCCTTGGGGAAGGCAGCTCACAATACTGCTTAGGAGAACAGCAATCTCTCCGTCCCAGCACCATCACCTCTGGTGATACTTGCGCTCTCTGGTGGACAGAATATAACTGGCTCCAGCAGGTGAAAATAAAGGAAAAAATAAAAGAAGCCTGTCTGTCATGTTTTAGTTTCTAAAAACTCATGGTGTTTTACTGAAGTGTAGTAAATATATTTTTGAAGAGTCATCATCATAGAAAAAATAATAATCTCAAAATATTTTTCCTTCTTCCATTGCAGTGCCAGATACAAGTAGTAAAAGAAACAATCAGCAATTCCAGATAAAATGTCTGTTGTTAGCCTTTATTCCTTTTGCAAAATCATGACCACTTAGGAATAGATTATTTACCGGGTATTGGAGAGAAGGAAAAGTGGTATTCTACAGAGAAAAGCAAAATAGTTGTAATACAACAAAATTATAGGAGACTTCTAAAATTAATGGGTGGAATACTGATGTGCTACAATGAATACAAACACCATGGTGTCATTATTTGTATGCTTTCTCATGTTGTTTTCTTTTTTTTCCTTGATAGGCTGTATTTCTGGTGTGTGAATGGCTTCAAAAGAAAGTACAAGTATCCAAGGTGTACCAACTTGGGTCCATGGTTGCTCTAATCGAATTGAAACATGGTTTTGCAGTTTTACTTTGTATCTGAATACATAATTGGAAATTATGATTGGCCAAAATAAAACATTGTGACCCATTTGTTTTGAAACTTAGCCAATTTGTCAACAACTATATTTATGGGGCATGGTTGTTTTTTCAAGATTTTTTTTAGGACCAGGCCTGTATATTAATAACATATATAATAGCAAAGCCATAAGAACAATCTTCTGATCTAATGAAAAACAGCTCCTGGCAGTACGCCTTCTTAAGCACTTAAAAGATGTAGGCATTTGGGCAAAGAAGAACTAAATGACATAAATGAATTGAAGTTTTTCTACTATGAGGTCATGGTGGACATATTATTTTTTCTTCAAAAAAATAGAGATTGGTGTTTGGATAGATCAGATATGTCCTGCTTTTGCAAAAGAACCAAAAATAAGAGCAATGCGTCAAAGTGGAGGTCTAATGATGTCATCATCTCAGAGCCTTTTTTATATGGAGCAAGACTCCTTCATTAAGAAGAGGATGTTCTCTGGAAGACATGAGTTGGGGGGCTACTCCAGATCAAGAGCCAGCCGAGCATCACCCTCCTTGCCCCCATGCTAGCTCCTAGTTATGAAAGCTTGCTTAGTGGGACCTCCTTGGTGCCAGACTGCTGACCGTCTTCCTACAAGCCTTCTCTGGGCATCCCACCTGGGCCTTGTTCCAGCTCTTTGCATACTCATCACTCTCTCAGACAGCTGTTGCAAAGCAGGGGACAACTTTTCTGGTATGTCGAGTCACATGAAACAAGATGGGTCACACGTGCTGAATCTCACCTAGAAAGGGGCTACAGCAAACAGACTGGAAAGTACACATAAGGACAGGACCAAACGGAGGTGCTCATCTTCTGGCTTTAGCATTGTGCCTCTCCTTGCCCCACAACTCCTGAGCAAACTTGCCACAGTCAGGGAGTAGGAGGACATATTCATTACCTCTGGCACAGCAGGTAAAAGAGTGGGAGAGGGGCTGAAATGCTACATGTGAAAGGGGAAATGGTCCCTTCTTACCTGAGAAGTAACATGCTGAGGCATCACTTTTCAGGTGTGAAGATTAACAGGTCTACTTCTGCCAGCAGAGCTGTCAATGAAGAGTGTGCAGTGGTATTACCTCAGGCTGACTGTTGCATGAGCAAAATCTCATAATGAAGACATGGTTATAGCCACCTCACCGGTAGGGGTGGCATCACGCGGAGTCCTGGGACACCGGAAAAAGCTCTGCTGACCAAAGTGCAGTTTTGCCAAACTAAGCATCTCTTACACTATTATACTGTCCTGATAAAGCACTTGTTTCAGAATTCATGTTAGATTGCATGTGTGGCCTCTTAAGAACCTTCCCTTTCTTTCACATCTGTAAAAAATACTCTGGAGCTCAGAAGCAGAGAATTAGTGGGAAAGGTTTGGATTGATTTTATCTCTGTGCATTGTAATTGTGTAAGTGATCAGTTAATCGATTGAATGTACTGCGCTGCTTTTTTTTTGGAGGGTGTTATTGTTTTGTTCACAGCTTTAAAAAAGAAATTGATTAAATAGCTATGATCTCATCCTGCTCCCTTTGCTTATATCTGTAGCATGGGACTCAGGGTAGTCTCAGATCTAACATTTTCCGGACCCTACATCTGAGTGCACACCCTGCTGTGTCCCACCCTGGCATACGCATTTGCCTCCGCCATGTCCAAGCCACCGTTCCACCCACCTACAACAAATCTGAAAAGTCCAAACAAATAGTCAAGGTCCTAAAATTCTGCCCACATTCTGTCTGCGGGGTGAAAAAGAGCATCTCTGAACAGATGTATGATGAACCTGGCAGCACTAGTTAATGGGTGAGATATGTCTTTGTTGTTCATGTGCCTAGGGTGGCTCTACCAGCAAAACATTCTAGCGTAGACGAGGTCAGAGTAAGCTACAGGTCTGCAGTTTTCTCCTTGCCTTTCCAACACAGAGTGAAACAGTTAACAAAAGTCATACTTCAAAGGACCAAAACAGGACATGTGAGGTAACCACAATGAATGATGCATTTGTAACGAACTCTCTTGTTCCAGAACCCTTGTAAAATCAACTCTGTGTCAATCTCACTCACTTTTCATTTTTTAAGCTTGCTTTGGAACCATCACTGACAGAGATATATACTCGCTAATTAAAAGAAAAGCTGGGATTTGGGAAATACAGAAGTTGCTTAATAGAAATACAGCACATAGCAGAGCCTAAGAGCAAGTCAGAATCACAGTTCCCAGCTTCAAAGTACATGGAATTATGGAAAACTAATTACTTTACTAATCGCATCCCCAGAGCTATGCTTTGATGAGCAAGATCCTGAGTGTTCAGAGAGGGCTATTCCAAGTTCACAGGTACACAAAAAAGGAAAATAATTAAATATTAGCTGCCACATATTTTTGCTATACCTCAAAAGTAGAAATATAAAATATTTCTAGTAACAAGATAGCTAGTAAAGTTCTGTAAAGGAAAACTGTTCTTAATATCTCAATGTAATCTTTTACTCTTTCTTGTAATTTCACGTTCGCTAATTATACTCACAAAATTCCCACCAGTTAAAGAAAACTGTCTGCTTAGCATATGTGGGGAACTGAAACGTGGGACAAGGTAAGGGCAGGTTTGTCTGCCACAATGCAGTGCTGTATTAGAAATCTCTGAGCTATCTGCAGACACAGCAGAGATACTGGTTTGGATCTTAAAATTAGCCCAGCTAATCAATTTGGTCTCTCAGCAGGGTCAATTAACCTATGTACGGAACTGTGCTAACATAGGAGTATGGCTCTGGTTGTGGGTCTCTGGAGATCTTAGCAGCTTGCTCCTTGGTATCACGTAGGTGTACTCTAAATCACCTCCTGGAGTCAGGCAGGTAGAGGGCAGCTGGTCAGTGAACGGAGCATGGGATTTCCCTGTGTCCCAGGCAAATACTTTGACCTCTGAGGAGCCCATTCTTCTGATGTCTGTACAGTAAACTAACTACAGCAGATAAAACCACGTTCTGGCCCTGTCAAGTTTGCAGCTTATAGGTGCAAATAAGGACAGTGTATTTATAACACAAAATGATCACATTGTTTTTCAGGCAGCAACCTGTTCCTTCTCCCAGAGGCCTAGCCCCCATATTTTAAAATACTGTATTACATGTTGATGTAACAGCCCTTCAGGAATCCCAGGCCCCAGAGACCAAGGTGAAAGTCTGGAGCAAAGCAGATGCGCTCTTGGTGGAGGAGGATCAGGTCAGGGAATACTTAAGCAAACTGGACATATGTAACTCCACGGGCCCTGATGGGGTGCGTCTACAAAGGCTGAGGGAACTGGCAGATGGGAGAGCAGTGGACATTGTCTACCTAGACTTTTGACCTGTCTCCCATAAGATCCTCATAGAGAAGCTGATGAACTGTGGGATGGATGAGCAGACACTGAGGCTGATTGAAAACTGGCTCAGCGGCCAGATCCATAGGGTGATGAGCAATGGCACAAAGTCTAGTTGGAGGCCAGTAACTAGTAGTGTACCCCAGGGGCCAATACTAGGTTCAATCCTGTTCAATGGCTTCATTAATGATCTGGATGGTGGGGCAGAGCGTACCCTCGACAAGTTCGCTGATGACACAAAACTAGGAGGAGTGGCTGATACACCAGAGGGTCATGCTGCCATCCAGAGGGACCTTGACAGGCTGGAGAAATGAGCTGACAGAAACCTTGTGAAGTTCAGCATGGGGAAGTGCAAAGTCCTGCACCTGGGGAGAAACAACTCCAGGCACCAGTACATGCTGGGGGACAACCAGCTGGAAAGCAACTTTGCAGAGAGGACCTGGGGGGTCCTGGTGAACAGCAAACTGAACATGAGCCAACACCATTGGCTTACAGCAAAGAAGGCTAATGGCATCCTGGACTGCATGAGGAGGAGTGCTGCCAGCAGGCTGAGGGAAGTGATCCTTCCCCTCTACTCAGCAATGGTGAGGCCGCATCTGGAGAGCCGTGTTTTCACTGGAGACAGTCCAGCGAAAGGCCACTAAGGTGATTAAGGGGCTGTAACATCTCTCATATGAGGAAAGGCTGTGATATCGGGGGGGGAGAATAGAGAAGGCTCTGGGAGGGACTTCATCAGTGTATATAAATATCCAACAGGAGGACAGAGCCAGGCTCTTTTCAGTGGTGCCCAAGTGACAGAACAAGAGGCAATGGGAACAGACTGAAACACAGGACGTTCCCTCTGAACATAAGGAAAACCACTTGTTCACTGTAGGAGTGACCAAGCACTGGAAGAGGTTGCTCAGAGAAGTTGTGGGGTCCTTGGAGATATTTAAAAGCCATCTAACTGGACGTGGTCCTGGGCAACTGTGTCTGGGTGGCTCTGCTTGAGTAGGAAGGTTGAGCCAGGTGACCTCCAGAGGTCCCTTCCAACCTCAACCATTCAGTGATTCTGTAATGTGCTCTGCTCCCTTTTCTTTTTATCTCTGCTTCTAGTGATGAATGTGCTTGAAAATGCCCAGCAAACAAGCATTTGCTGCCTGGTTTGTGCACCCACACAGCTTCTTCACCTCAGCACCTGCCACCTGCAGGGCTCCCTCAGGAGGCACGCCAGAGCCAGGCACCATGGGACCCCCCGTAATTCCTCTCTGTGATCCATGGCACGTACTCCAATGGTCTGGAATTCCAATTCCCAGCAAGGAAAAGATGTTTCTGCCCTTTAAGTCTGTAGTAGCAGTAGCCTAGCAGTAGCCTAAACCTGAGTGGAGCAAGAACTTACGATGACATTTCACTGCCAACCTCAATGACTTAATCCGCTGGTTGTTTTAGCGTGTGGAGTGGGCAAAAAAGACAAGTGAGGTTCATTGGCTGGGAGCTGCCATGGGGAAAGAAAGTCACCACGAAAGAAACAGAGCAGGCCAAGAAAAACAGAAGAAAAATGAGGACACAAATAGTGATGAGCTGATAAGGTGGCACTCTGAAAACCAAACAGGAACTTACTAAAAATGAATGTGACAGAAATAAATACTTATGAAACTTTTCTTTACTATCAAGAGACAATTTCCTCCCCTTTATCGCAAACCTCCTACTGATAACAGCAGTCACTCAGCACGATTTGCAGAAAGTATTCAGTTCCGAATTTACGCTCCAGGCCGCAGGTCACAAGGAAACACAGAATTGGTGTTTTCCTCCTTCCGGTGAGTTTGACATCCTCAGCAGAGGAGATGCTCAGGCACCAGAGAGAAAAAAGAAGCTTGCCTTCGCCCTTTGATAGGAAGCAGAGGGAAAAATAAAACGTCTCGTAACTTCTTTAGCTGTTGTGACGGGGTGAGTGGGAAGGCTGATCACGGACCCGCAGGTCACCCTGTTACGTGAAGGGGTGCCTGCCTGAAATGCTCACTCGCTGCTGAGGGGCAGCGTGGCAATTTTATCCACCGGGCTTTGTAATCCTGAGACAAGCCCGGCGAGTACGCCTCAGCCTCCTGAGCACGAAGATTATGTATGATCTTTCTTTTCTGGGGAAAAAGTCAGGCCTGCTTTGTAACCGACTCCCGCTCTGCCCACAGGCAGGCATTACCGCGTTTATCAACCGCGTGGAAAGACGTGAGGGGCCGTTCACATCGTTCTTCATTTGCTTAGCGCGCAAACACATCGTTAAATCACGCCGATGTGTGCTGGAACCTTCTGTTGTACGAAAACCAACAAAACCGATCAGCGAGACACCCGTGTCTTCCCCGGGGCCTCCTGCCTATACTGAAACTCCCCCTTTTTGCCCACCCTTGGAAGCGCTCTTCCCGTCCCGCTCTGCCCACCGCACCGCCCGAATATAGCACAGTGTTTCTCCGGTCAGCGCCGGCTCCGGGCGCTGTACACGAACCCGC